ATTTTTTTTCAGTGTTTCAACAAATTACACATGTTTGTCTGTACTAAAATATTGCCAATAAGGGGACAAGTTGATTTTCATGTAGGTATGCTCCTCTTCATCTTTTATGGGATACATTTGATAATTAATTTACTTGTGAAGATGAGTCTTGAAGTGAAAAGTGTTTTCAGAGCTCCTGAGAAAATCAGCATTATCTTGCTGTGCGGTTATCATGCTAGTTGGTTGTGTTGTCCACGGGCATGTCTACTCGGCAAAATGTTTAGTATCATTTTTGTTCCTGGATGTTCATCAGGAACTGCAATTCCCCAAATATGCATTGAAATAAATTTTGCTGCTGTGTGCAGTAGAATTCTGTTGGCTTAGGAAACTAATCGTGGGCCCCCAGTTGACATTGCGGAATGGCAACTCAGTTGATACCCATTGTGTTTGGCAGATATTCTCTGGTGTAATAACATGGACTAAAGTTTAAATTAAGATTCTGATTGATCAGTTCAGGGTAATTACCAATCGTATATTTGTGAGTAAGGTTAAATTTTTTGCTTCGCCAGTTCTCATCTTTCCCTCGTCTACACTTCATCTCAACAGTACACTCTTCCTTTACAAAATACTTCTTTCAGTTGATTTTATTTTTCTTGCAGCCTCCAAAAGAGAGAACTTGAACATTTTAAAAATGTTTAAATTGAAATTCTAGATAGAATCTCTTGGTAGTTACGAAGCCATGGTCACAGCTCAGAAACCTACACTTTTCATTGTTCTGTGCTCTGAGAAGACCCGAAGCGTCTGTTACAGAAGTTATTTGGTCATAATAGTGTTATTGGAAATTATATTTATAGAACTATAAATTAGAAAATATTGTTTTTGTATAATGATATTGTACGAATTTGCTACTTTTTTAATGTAGATTTGCTTTAGTGGTAGTCGTCACCATGTATTGAGCTGATTCTTTATAGGAACTGCAGTTTTTTGCGTATATAGATGGGGAATTGGGTTGCAGATTGTACTTTATACCAGGAACTCTAAGTGAAACCAATACGACATTTCTTTGTAAGAATCTTTGTAAAGTTATTTGTAAGTGGACTAATCCAATTGAAACAACAAACTATGTATTTTCCGTGAATAAGCTTTGTAGTAATTATACGTACATGCTCCAAATAACATGCAAAATACAGGGTGACCTTTTTGTTAATTCATCAGTAAATTATATGATTTCTTAACTTCCTATTTGAAACATTAGTCAATTCACCCTTACACTGTGGCTTCTGGAGCCTGTTAATTCCATAAATGTTTCACATTCTATTTATCCTTGACATGCATTGTGCAGTAATATTTAGAAAAACACCATAGGATGTCAATTGTGTTTGTATTAAATAACTTTGACATTGTGAAAGTTGCTATATAGTGAGGACTAGTCCAAGCAATATATTGCAAATCCTTGGCTTTCCTCTAGGCTAGGAATTAATGATGCCCATTTCCTTCCTGCCCACTCAGCTCTTAAGTGATAGGGCAAACAGATTAGCTAGGTCTCCATGCTGGTTGCACTTTCTGCTGGGAAATTTCAGACATCTGCTTTGCTTTGTAGTTCGTATTAAGCAGTGCTTCCTTTTGCAGCTGGGTCCAGCAGAACAGATCTTGCGCTGGCGGCGAAAACTTTCAGCTGTCATCTGTGATCACAGATGACGGAGCTCCGTTCGCATCTGAATATTTAATTTTAATCCTATTAAGATGACTTTGGGGGGAAAAAGCAAGCTACTTATACTTGTACCCTAAAATACTCTGTGTGGTTATTCAAAGATTCATGTATTGAAAGTTGTTTTCTTCTGCCGAATATTGAATTTTTATGTAGATTGAAACATTTGTTTAACTGTTGCACTTTGATACCAATGGTGTCCTTGTCAACAGGCATCTTGGATTTGCACAGAACCCAATAAAGTTGATATATTTGAATCTCCCTTTGAGCATTTTTTTGACTAAGTGCTTCTGTCTTGGATAATTTGGTGCCATATGCCTTTTTAGTTTGGTTTTATCAAGAAATTCTTCATATAGGATCCGTTTTTAACTTGTCTATAAGTTGTTAATTTTGAACTCCTTGATGGGTCAATTGGTATACACTGCTTCATGTGAAACTGATTCATAGAGAAATGTTTACACCTGGAGTTATCTATACAGTGTGTAAATTTGTTGTTGTATTTACTTGCAGTAGGGAGTTTTTTTTCATATAATTGGGCTCAGCTTGGGAGGAGGGGAGAAAAGAGAGAAATCACAGGTTGTAATCTGCCAATGCTTGTTATTTTGACTTACACGTGAAGTATGGTTACTTGTGCAGAGTATTAAATGCTGGCTGATGCCTCCAGATTTGTACTGCCACATTAGTTTGAACAATTGAAAGTAATCTTCACTGCTACTGATGACACACTGAATACAAGTAATGCCTCGTCAAATAAGATTATTTCCAATCAGTCTTGACTATTCTTGGTTAGGTTTTAAAGAGTATTGCTCAGTCAGTTGGAAAGGTCTATTTTCAAACTAACTGAATAAACCATATGCTGAAACATTTTAGTATTTAGGTTCACTTCAGTCACAAAGCATGATCATTGATTTTCAGCATTTAACAATTACAGCAGAGGAGGAGACCATTTGGCTTATCAAGGCTGTCCTGGTGCTAGCTCTTCCACTAGAGCTAACTACTCTTATCTCATTTCTCTGATCTTTCCCTCAGCGCTGGTTATATTGTCTCTGCCAATATTTATCCAACTTCCTTTAAAGTATTATGGTCTCAGCCTCAGTAGGCACTTCTTGTAACAGTTTTTTTAATATTGTTCTATAATAATAATAATCCTTGCATTTGATACAGCGCTTCACAGAATAGACTGTAAAGTGAATTGATTGTATATTTGTGGGCGAAACCCTTTAGTATGAAAATGTGTTTCCAACAACAACAGATTACATTTGTATAGCATCTTTCACGTCAGGAGGATGTCCCCACGATGCTTCCAGTTACCATCCTGAGCTAATGTCCACTTGTTATTGAGTTATCAATCAGCAGTAATAATTTTTAACTAATTGGGGACCCATACAATTCACAAAGCTGTTGATGCTGATCAGATTTATTTTATAAGTAATAATAATAATCCTTACATTTGATATAGCGCTTTTCATATCTTCTCGATGTCTCAAATGGCTTCACAGAACAGACTGTAAAGTGAATTGACTGTATATTTGTGGGGGATACGCGGCAGCCAAATGCGCACAGCAGTGTCCCACAAACAGTCGTGGATTGAAAATGACCAATTCATTATTGTTTTGGATGGATTATTATTAGGCGTGTGGAGTAAGAAAACTTGCCCAAGGTTTTGCTTTAATTTTTCAATGTAATTGGAAAGTCCAAACGTTAATATGAAGCTGTTTTATTATAAGCACTGGGAACATAGGACAAGAAGTTGGTCATTTGATCCTTTGAGCTGAGTAGGGTGGAGAGAGAGGGGAATTCTTTGAAATGCTTTGATTTATGTAAAAAAAAGCTGACGTAAAAGGCATATATCAAATGCAAGTAAGAATAATAAAATTCTGTTGGTTGTAAAGTTTGATATCTTGCATGTACATCTATAAGGAATCTTCACTGACTAGTAGAAATGTGTTTTCTAGGTTTTGAGCTACTGTATCCATCGTTGGAGCTGTGGGATCTTATTTGATTATATTTAGGGAGGTTCCTTTGGAAAGTATTTATAATTGAAGTGGTTTTTGAGACTCTTATTACACGACCAGCTACTTTAAACACTGTACTTTCGTGATGTCCATTTGTGGGAAAGCTGTTTGGTTAGAAAAACAAATAAAGCAATGTTCAGAACTGTAGTTTTAAATGGTTAGATTTCAGGAAGATCTGAGAGCAAAAAGCGCTGACACATAAGTGGGAAGGGTTACAAGCTAAGGTACTGTTGATTCTGTATTTATATTTCACTATTACAGCATTTAGATGACAACAACAAAATTACATTTGTATCGTGCCTTTCATGTTGGGAGGACGTCCCAAGGCACTGGACAGACAGAGTTACGAACCCGAGCTGAGGGTCAGGGTGGGGAAGGGGGTGAGGGCAGAAGGGGAAAGCAGGGAGGGTCTTGAGGTGGGTCTTGAAGGTGGCGAGGGAGGGGGCAAGATGAAGGGACTGCGGGATGGAGTTCCAGAGGGTGAGTGCAGAGCGGCGGAAAGCCCACCTGCCGATAGTCAGGCAAGCAGGCGGGGGACGTGAAGCAGGCCAGAGCCTGTTGAGCGGAGGGAGCGAATAACATGGTAGGGGGTTGGGAGGTTGGAGAGGTGGGGGGGAGCAAGACCGTTGAGGGCTTTGAAGGTAAGGACCAGGATCTTGAACTGTATCCTCTGTGTGATGGGAAGCCAGTGGAGTTGGGCAAGGGTGGGAGTGATAGGGTCACGGGTCTGGTGCAGGAGAGGACACGGGCTGCAGAGTTCTGGATGATCTGCAGCCTATGGAGAGAGGAGTTGGGGAGGCCGACAAGCAATGAGTTTGCGTAGTGGAGCCTCGATGTAATGAAGGCGTGTATGAGGGTTTCGGTGGCCTGCGGTGTGAGACAGTGTCGGAGCCGGGCGACGTTGTGGAGGTGGGGAAGGCAGAACGGTTAAGAACTACATTTTTGGAGTTCACTCTCGATCACAGGAAGGAGGTGGTTTCAGAAATTATTTATTGTATTGCAATACTGTATTGTATAGATCTAGTGGCCCTGAATTGATTCTGATTCTGCTTCCAACTATCCTTTGAGATGTTGTTGGGATGTTAAAACAATCCATTATATGTGAAGAAAATATGGAATAGAAAGTACAAATTGAGCTTCCACTGGACCTGGAATTTGCTTAAAGAATCTTCTAGCATTTGAATTGGTTGTCCTCCATGCATCTATATCATGGGACTGTATCTATATTGTTTTATAACATGCATTTATTTGTGAAATCTTGTGAAAGTTATTAAATAAATTACAATTCTCTTTTGTAGGTTTAACTTCCAAACCATTGAAAGTTCGAGAAGAAATTTCTGATGGCAGTGAAACAATAAGAGGAAAACATCCAGTGAACAATGTAACTGCCCCAGTCAAAGGACTAAGCAATTTGGGAAATACATGCTTTTTTAATGCTGTTATGCAGGCAAGTAAAAAAATGCATTTTTCACTGATCTACCTTGCTGTTCAGTGAAACAAACTGTTCGAGATGTGATTGTTTGTGGGACACTGCTGTGTGCAATTGGCTGCCGCATTTCGTGCACAAAATATACAGTCAATTCACTTTGCAGTATATTCTATGACGTGCTTTGAGACGTCTCGAAGATGTAATAAGGCGCTATAAATACAAGTATTAACATTACTATTATTATTTTGTCAGAACTGCTGGAGAAGCCTTTGAAATACTAATTTAATCTGTTGTGCATTTTAATGTTTGAAATTTGTTCCCTGAAACATTGTTTTAACTTTTGAATACGTTTGAACAGATAACTGTAAATTGATGTTGTTCTAGTTTGCTCTGGGTTTCTTTCTGGGTTAATAGAATAAGCAAATGTAATTAAATGTTATAGAGCAGTATGATTTTCTTAATTGAGAGTTGTTGAGTTCACTGCTACATTGTACAATTCGGAGGCAAAATGTTAATTATTCAAGAATACATTATATTTTGGTGGGGCGCAAAGAAAACAAAGTTGGATTTTTAAAAAAAAACTGAAATGCTACAGAGTGTACGTTAGGTAAATAAGCATCTAAAGTGAGAGGCTGGTTAATGTTTCAGATTTGACCCTTTATTCATATTGCAGTCTAACCCCTCTCTTTTTCTATCAATATTGTTAATCTGTTTGGCACTTTTTCTGCACTTGCATAATTTAGTTGACTCCACAACATCATGAAGGAAATTTACAGTCTTAACTGAAGAATGTAAGGTATTTATTGATATGCAGAGAGCCCACTGCAGATTTTAAAACTCATAGCTGGCTTTGACCAGCGTTGTAAGAGATTCAGCTGGGTCCAAAGTAATTTAGTTAGGATGAGATGGATTGATATCCAATATATTTTCTAGTATTGATATTTTGAATATTTTTCAGAACTTGGCTCAGACACACATGCTCAGTGAACTCCTGAATGAAATGAAGGAGAAAGAAACAAAGCTGAAGATCTCCCCACCCACAGACTCAAATTTGGTAGGTGAAAATTACTGGAATAAAGCTAATTTGGATGGTAGCATCTGAAAACCAGGGTTTACGGTAGTTTAACTGGATTAGCAGGTCAATCTCTGAAGTGATTTCAGGATCAAAGTTTGTAAACCCGTAAGTGATCTCCATTGAATGATCATATTCGGGCAGATAAACTTATGTGGTGTTCTGACGGTTAATAACATGTAGAAAAGTTTTAAAACTGTACAATCAATAGGTCAGGATGGGTGAGGGAAAATCTAACCTTCAGATCCAGTGACAACAAAGAAAATCAAACTTCCCCAAAGTACTGTCAAAAGCACAAATAAGCAGAAATGTGAATTTGGACCAGAACAAAGGAAAAGCCTGAAAAGAAAAATGGGATTAGAATAACTCCACAACAAAAGAACTAGTTACAAAGAGAAATCTGACTGCATAAAGGTCACAGTCAAGGCCATCAAGATGAATAAATCACGAACGTAACCTATTAGTAAATAGATAAACATTTCAATCTATTAATTGGTGGATTAAGTTGTAGTTTGAATATACAATCTCGTCAAATCTTCAAATCTGGGAGTTTGAATTCATTTGGAGCTCATGAAGATCTTAGAGCACTGATGCATTCTGAATTAATTGCACATTTACAACAGAGATGATTGGATTGATAAAGAATTTTCGGTGTTCACAATTCCTATATTATTAATCACATAATTGCTCTATATATTGACAAAATTAAGATGGTAAATTTATTGTTGGTTTATGTAAAATATATATAATATATAATGTGTATATATATATTTTGGGATAGTCTCTCTTGTGATCTGAAATTGGTCTATTCCCAGTTGCAACAGTGCAGAGGATCCAGCCTCCTGTTTTTTTTTGTGACCCATCCTTCTGAGAACAAGAATTGCAAAGAGTAAAATTTATATGGAGGTATGTGGGGGGCCGGGGTGGAGAAGAGAAATCTCTTGTTTCCCAAGTAAGCCTTACCATTAGTTCACAGAAAGTAACTGTAGTTGATGGAACTCCATCTTCAAAATTAAAATCTAAATCAAGTTGAAGAGTTGTCCAAAATTGGCAAACACTTAAATACTAAGAAAAAAACTCAGGATCCAGATGACGTTTCTACCAAAGTGTGTCAGGGCAGGTGAGTATGCCCTTATTGTCGAGCCTTCCATATGTAAATAAATCCTTGAAGGACTTTGTATGAGGATTAAGTGTGTCCATTTCTTAAGAAAGTCGCATGCATTTTACATAACTTGTTCCATGCTGAGATATCTGTAATGGAATACTTTTTTTCCCCCTCTTTTCTCTTCCACTTCCCAATCAAGTAAAACTGGGATTATTCTTTCTGTGCAGGATCCATTGATGATAATACTCCCCAGCCCTGGATCTTTGACCTCAGCCATGTATTTATTCCTTCATAGCATGAAAGAAGCAGGGAAAGGACCAGTGACTCCAAGATTACTTTTCAACCAACTCTGTCAGAAGTAAGTGAATTTTTTTTTTGTTTTTTCTTGCATCAAATCACCAATGGTATTTGGGTATCAGGCCATTTCATCTGACCTCATTTAGTTTGACCCTAGTTGAATCTATCTCCCCAATGACCAGAGCTGCCCACCCCCCTTGATCAGAACTGCCTATGTTTTAATATGTGCTACAAGATCCTTTGATAACAATGGATAAATAAATACTTCCCAATGTTGTTTAAGCCATATGGACCAGGAAATCTGGGCTAGATTTCCAATATCTCCATCTACATATTGATAAAAGAACAAACCAACCAATCTCACGTTGGCTGCTAATGTGAATGAAGACCCCATGCTTAGGATTTAATGTTCAGTTGTGAAGATGTTACTCCCACAGAGAATGGAGTATCAATTATTATTGTACAGGAAAAGAGGACAGGAACTTTGAATAAGCACCCAAATGGAAATGTATAATTGTGTATACGGTTTTCTATGATTACTTGTAAGATGAATGGTAATTGGAAAATTTCATGCATATTTTAATTTGTATCTCTTTTGAAAGAGATAACATGCACAAACTAAACCTACTGCACAAATTTCGATCTGCTAGACCATGAGCCAGTAGTAGGCATGGCTGGTTCAATTCACTAGTAACTTTGCATCTGCTCCTCCTTGCAAAATGGTAGATTAATGGAATGAGATAACTTTGATAAAATCAAAGTAATATGTAATATGTTCCAATCAAAATCAAAATGTTTTCAAGATCAATATTTGCTTCCTACACAGTTGAGTAAGATTACAATTTCTTATCCCATAAAATGCGAAGCTGTGTTTTTCTGGTTTACCCGGTTTCTGTTGCATCTATCAGGATTGCAGATGAACTCTAAATTTGAATTTGTCCCTTCAAGTCTGATCTTTTTTTTCTCCCACACGATTCCCACTCCTGTTCATTCCCCATAATCTTTAATTTTCTTCACTGCGTTTCAATATTTTTTTCTTGCATTATGATTGAAAAAATTGTTTAATGAAATTCCGAATGTTGCTTATTAAGTAGAAATGTCTGTGTGGAATGATATACTTCATACAGTCTGCTCTGAAAAAATGATCACAGGTACTTAAATGTAATACCATGTACTGGTTGTTCCTGACTTTAAATGGAGTCCATTGGAAAGGTTTTTATTGAAAGAAAAAAAATTGTAATGTCAACCTCGGTGATTTAGGCAGATATACAGAAGATGGCTGATTTGCCTGATCTTGGTTAGCATGTTTGAGGAAGAGAGTTGGAGGGAAATATTAGAGATGGGGGGATGTATTAGAAAAGGGAATATAATTCTCAATCACGCTGATTGAAAATCAAGTTGCAGCTTGAAGAGATGTTCAAATTTAGAATCATTAACCTGGATTTAAAGTAGTGATAGACCCAGAGCTTAAATTTAGAACCTGCTGCAATTGTAGAAGTGTATTTAAAGATACAGTCACAGAATTTGCTTCAGTACTTAATTTGTAGAATGAAATCTGTTACAAAGATGAGTTTCAATCACACTGTATATTATGTGCAGTATTTACCGCAGTACACATTAGTGGGAATACTAACTGCTGAAGCCTAGTACAGAATAACTGAAGTGACCTGCTGTTAGTAGGAATGTTTTATTTGATAAATAGTACTGTAGCTGGAGGCAAACAAAACTCCCTTGATCTGGAAATTCATGTGCTTTGGAAATTAGCTACTTGCTGCTAACTTTTCCCTGAATCATTTTGCACTGCATTAGAAGAATGTATGACCTATCAGTTGAGTGAATCTTGCACTCTATACAATCTTAATTATTTGAAATCTTTGTTTTACAGCATTAATATTTCACAGAAATTGTCAATTAATAAATTTAATTTCAGTAATTTCGAAATTACAAAGTGCATTTTCAGATAAATTCTCCTCTTTAAATGTTTTGGCTACATTCCCATAGAAAGGACTCTTAGCATGTTAGAGGATTGCTGAGGTGGCATATGGACCCAGATTGAACAGAGCTTGCTTGCCCTGCAGGACAACATGCTTCTTGGGGCAGAAAATCTCCTCAGTGGAAATCTGTAGGTGTGTTAATTGTTGCACATAATTCACTGCCTAAGAATCACCTGTGGAGACACCTGGGAGAATGAAGTATAAAAATAAGTCAATAGAGTAAGGAACTGTATAACTGGGGAAGATTGCAAGATTTATTTCTTAAAAATTCACCTTTCAGAATTATTGCATTCCCTTAACATAGTGCTAGCAGATTTTAATTGTAAAATTAATTAGGGCAACATATAGTTTTGGTACCTACTAAGTTTGTTTAAAAATAGCTTGGTTTTTAAAATCAACAAAAACAACATGCCCTTCACACAGGGTAGCATCCTGGAGTGCTTGGGTTTAACAAAGGCAATTTAAAATGAAACCATTTGGATGAATGGAATATGCAACTTTTTTAATTCAGATATTTTTCTGCATTATCAGAATTTCTTCCTAGGAAGAACTTTATTTGCTTCCCTTTACATCTTTAAATCTAACCTGAGAGTTTTCAAACTTCTGGTTTCATCTTTTCATGTATTAATATGGTTTAAAATGGAAACTGAAGGAGTTAAGTGAGAATAGAAGAAAAATGTACATCGCATGATTTTATACAAAGTAGAAATAAAAATACAAGGAAAATATTAACCAAAAAGGTTTAAGAGAAGTGGCAGAATTGACATTGCAGAAATTCAGAGCAAGAGAAATTCCATCCATAACTTGCCATATTTGTATTGAGATAAGGTAGATATCAATCAAAAAAATTTCAAACTCTGACACTGTATGAGACATTAAGCCAACTCTTTCTGGAAATTGTGCAAATGTTTTCCAATTTTTTTTGAAAAAATTGCTGCTAGATGTTTAAAGCACAGAATAATCTGAAAATTAAATAACACTAAAGACAGTTTTTATCAAATTCATCAATTAAATGCGCTTTTTCTGAGTCAGTTAGTTTTTTAAAACTCAGATTTTATTGTTGTTTATGTCTGTACTTATGCGTGCGAAATTCACAGCTACACTGCAATACTGGAATATACTGCATTACTTTCAAACGCATTTCCGGAACCGGCATTGCAGTGAGGTGGGCTGTGAGATGCACACATCTGGTCAGAAGTGGCTTTCATAGGTATCTTTAGAACTGACATTGCAGCTTGGCGGGTTTTGGGATGTGCATGTTAAACGGATGTTTCAAATTAAATCCCAGTTTTCACTAAATTTGCCTGGGAATTTTTTGTTAAATTTTCCCCTTGATTTTCATCTGCTTTTTGAAAGAATGAATAAACTGGAATAATCTGAAAATATCCAGGTTTTAATTTTTAACAGTGGTCCATATTTACAGTATACAATTTCATATAGTGTTATGTATGCTATATATGTATGTGCGTGTGTATGTTTCCTTCATTAAATAATGTCATTTCTTCAGAGCAACAAGGACATCTGCTGCCTAAGGATCTGTGAGTGTAGCAGTGAAAGTAACTAGTGTCTGACATCAGCTGAGCAATAGTCCTGAGTGGATGACATCCCAGGCAAGCAATCTTTTCCGGTTGCCCAGCGGAGCCTTCCACTTGGGACTTTTGCCCTTGGTACATAGTTACAGTTGTGAGTTGCAGCCGTTCTGTTCTGGCAATACGACTGTCACATTTAAGACAATAGTATCTAAATTGTGGAGTTATTTGGTTGTAGTAATTTTTTTTAATAATAATCCTTGCATTTGATACAGCACTTTATCAGCTCTTCGAGACATTTTAAAGCACTTTGCAGAATATACTATAAAGTGAATTGACTATATTTTGTGGGTGAAATGTGGCAGCAAAATGCAGCAGTCAATTGCGCACAGCAGTAGGAGATGTGTATTAGATAGAAGATCTCTCACATTATATTCCTTTTGAAATTCAAAGGAAAAGTTTTCTGTATGTATGTTTCATAAGAAAAATAGAAACTCCTTGACCAGACATTTATCTTTCTGGGGTAAAAGAAAAGAGCTGGACTAAAAAATGTTTTTTGAAAAATATTTGGTAGTACAGGTTTTGGAACTGACATACAGATGCATCATGTAATGCATTGAATATAGTTCATTTTAATGATACCTTATAACTATAGTTGTAAAAAATTATAGTTTACATTTACAGCACTTCCAGCATTGTATTATGAGAATTAATTTTGAACTAATATTCTACCATCCGTTCATTTGCATATTGTGATTGTTTCGAATAATACAGATCTCCTTAAATGCTGTCTTACAAATAACCAAACACTTATTTTGCAGAGAAACTGCATTGATTTTATAAGTGTGACATTTGTCATTTTGTTTGTTCCATGTGCCATATTGCATGTGAATATCCAATGCTAGCTACAAGTTGCACCTCAGATAGATACTGGCACAGTGTAGTGTTGCTCATTCTGTAGAAATATAAGGATCTTCTACTTTAGACCCGTCATAACTAACCTGCCGGCAAAAATCTGAATTGTGTACTTATGTGCTCTGGCTTTGATTCTGTAATACAGAAAGGACAATCAGTTGATAGAATGGAAGTATTTATAGAATAATACATTTGGTGAAAGCTTTTTTTGATGCTTTTTTGTGCTCACAAAATATTTAGTCAATTATTGTTTAGTCAATGGTGTGACATTGCCCTCTTTTGCTCTGATTGAGTCATTGAGCTTTTGGCATAAAGAAATTAGATAGCTATGACTGTTAGATATATGAAATAGCAGGGAAAAGGAGGCATTGGATCTTTTGCATGCAGGAAATTTACTGTGATTCCTGGTATCTTAATTAAAACTTGTGCTTTTGTTTGTCTGTTTGTGCATTAGTTTGTGTCTGCTAAAATCTTCATATTCACAACTTATCCATAGTTTAAAGCACAGCATCTATGACATTGAATTGCTTCCTCAGTATTGCAATGGAGAGTCAGCCTAACTGAGCTTGAAGTCCTGAATTGGGATTGAACCACATTTTTCTTACTAGAGGCTACCAGCTGAT